GTGGGTGGGTGGGTGGGTGGGTTGGCGGGTTGGCAGCTGGGAAGGCTGGTAGGCCGGTAGGCTGGTAGGTAGGCAGGCAGGCAGGTAGGTAGAGTGACAGCCGGATTGTACATCCCCCCAAACGCAAGTCCCGAAATCCAGGAAACCAGCACCACAACCATTACCCGAGCGAGAAATCCTCGACCGAAGCTTTCAAGCCAACAAAGCGTTTTCTGGAGCCTCCGGGTTAGCGAATCAGGAGGTAGGTTTGCATCAACAGGCTCCCCAAATCCAAACCCTGAGCACCAGAGCCCCCTGAACCAGACCCTAAACCCTAAACCCTAAACCTTAAAAGAGGCCGAGGAGGCTCGGCGGACCATCGAGGCGACGCAGGCCTCCCACTTCCGTTTCCATCACATCCCCGCCGCTTGGTTGAGGCTTGAAGCTTACGTTGAAGGGGACCCTTTACGTTTAGGTTTCAGGATCTATTGGGGCTTGGCGTTGTGGGATGGATTCAAGGCAATAAGCCCCAAACTTTATCGGCCTCAAGATTTCATTCCAACTTTACCCTAGGCCTGTGACTTTGCAGTTTCGAGCCACTGTGACTTTGCAGGATAAATGACTCTCGATTGAGGCCAGAAGTGTTGAGCAACTTGAGTTTTAAGTTGCATCCTTTACGACAGTCACTTTAGACGTTTGGACCGGAGTTCCGAGCCTCGCAAAATGATGAATCCAACACCGTTCCGTGAAGCACTGCTGCTTAGGCCCAGGCCCTGATCATTTCGAAGTGCTGGGGAGCTCTAACTGTAACTTTTGTACATGGCTTGTGGCTTTTTAGCCCAATCCTTACTTGCAGCTTTGGGTCTGCCGAAAGAAGCAAAAAAGTCTTTGGGGCTGCCCCTGCTCCGCGGAGCTTGGAAAACCTGCCAACGTTAGGCGGTTCAGGATTTAGTCGCCGATGATGTCGATTGGGGATCAGAGGTGGTCAGAGTCTCGGTCTCGGGATCCGCGACAGCTTCAACGGCGCATGACAAAGCACCCACGCTTTTCGGATTTATCCCCCCAGAAGCTCATGCCTCGATCAGGGGTTACATTCTCCACCTGACACCACCAGCCACAAGGCCCCCAAACCTGGGAACTGTGGCGGCCAAAATGCATAGGCACTTTTCGACCTCGAGCGCCAATCAGTGTTCGAGCTCCACGGGGGCGCCGAAGCCGTCAGGCTTCTCCTTTGCTGCGGGGTTTTGGGTTAAAGAGCTGTTTTGAGGTGTTGAGGGCTTGGGGCTCGTCCGGTATTGAAAAACAGTGACGATGTCCGTCGAAGGCTCGGCTTCCATGTCCACTGAGAATAGAAGCAGCCATGGTACCTGGATGTCTCAGGAGCCTGAGTCCTCAACCCTAAAGTCCAAGTGCAGGCTGGCCAGATTCCAACACCTTTACACGGATGTGCTCATACAGCAAGAGGCTGATGGGAGACTCTACAGCCAGTACGCAAGGATGCTGCAGCGGTATCCCCCAGATTCAGAGGTAAGGTGGGCTGCGACAGCCCAAGATGGACACCTGTTCTGATTGCGCGGAGGGGCACGTCTACGTTGATTTGCAGCTGATGTGGACACCAGTTCTGATGGCACAGAAGGGCAGATCTTGGTGCACAAGGACGCCGTGTGCATGTGTTGGCACTCTTGCCGGGCCGGAGCCGGACCATCAGGTTGCAAGTGCTGAAAGTTCAAAGCCTGGGGCCGGTGCAAGCGGTCGTGGAATCCAACTTGAAGGCTCTGTTTCGACAAGATCATGGCTACTTCGCAGGTGCTGGGGTTTGGCCGGCTAATCCTCCAGACAGGAACTTGATCGACCAATCTCAGTCGTGCATGGCCGAATACCTCCCTGAGCTTGGTCACTGTTGGTGATCCCGTTTTTTCTGTTGTGGTCTCCAGATCCTATTGAGTTTCCAATGCCAATGCCGATGTGTTGACAAGCAGCCTGTTTCGTTCCTTCCATAGCAGTCACCCAGTCTGTAGGCTTAGCTTCGTGCGCTTGTACCTTGGCGACTGCGACAGGATGAAAATTGCTGCTGCTGCGAGAGTGAGCACGAATCAGGTTTGAGCTCATCAGTCATCGGTGCCCTTCTCCCCTCTAAAGTTCGGGCTCTCGGGACCCTGAACCAACGCTGAATTGCCGAGATATCGGGCCCTCAGGGCTCTCGTCCCACAGAAGGACAGCTGGTAGCTGTCCCCTGAGACAGAGTGCTGAAGAAGACAGACTCGGGCTAAAGCAGCTAGATCGCATAGCTTCACTTGCAAAATCGGTCGCCAACGAGGTAAACAAGTTGCCGTTGCTGTAGGAACTGATACCGCGGAAGGAGTAAACTCTTTGCCCTCGTGCGATTGTTAAGTGCTCACGCACACAGCTGCACGTACGCAACATCATCGACTGCACATTTTGCTGTACCCATGTGCGGCCTTGTGCCAAATGTGAGAGTTCGATAGCTTTTGTAGTTTACTCATACAGCACTTATTGACTTATTGACCTGGTTTGTCATTATGCCTGTCTTCTTCGTGTTTTATCAGTATATACACACCTTTCACAAAAGATCTATGTGAGGTGTTTCGGCCTTTGTTTGTCACTCTGTTCTTCTCTATCTCTCTCTCTCTCTGTCTCTCCTTCTCTCTCTCGCTCGCTATTTTCTCTTTCCCAGCAAACGCAGATAGTTTTCTTCATAACAACCCATGCTGGCCCATGCTGTGATGCAAAAGTGGGTTGCATGTTGCCTTGTTGCCAGCTTCGCCATCGCGGCCGATTCAGCCTCCGGTGTCGAACTATTACATACATATCTTACCCGAAGTTAGGGTTTGGGGTTCAGGTTCCGTTTAGTAAGCATGTTAATTGACATCTGGGATCATCGGATCTTTCGTCAACTTAACCATGTTCCAGGGATATAGAACTGTCTTGAAACCATCTCCTAGCATGCTTAAGTCGTAGATCAGAGGTATAAAGCTTGGATGCTGAACCATGGCCAAGGCAGAAAACAACACTTTTGAGTCTCCGTTGCCATTGCAACCAATAGTATGATTGAAATCCAGAACACGCCCTAAGTGTATCGTTCTTCAGACATGTGACTAAAAACGGGCCCAGCCATGGTGGTGTGGGCGCTGTGGCTGCTTCTGTGGGCTGAAACATCGGCTCAAGTCGACGTATCTCGGTGGACCGAGCTGGGCGCTGAATGCGTATCCGTAGAACCTGTGGCAGCTCAAGCAGACGACAGCTGCGCACTGCTTCAACGTGGTCGCACTTGGATAGATGGTTCTGACAACGACGGAGCTGTGATGCAGGCATTGGCTTGTGCGGTGCCAGCTAGTAGCTACATATTCATAATTCTGCCTAGATGAGACAGCATACTGAAAGCTCGCAAAGTCCGCCCTGAAGTGGAAGGTGACCGACGGGCCCGGAAGACTAGGCAATAATTTGGGCTTCATTGTTCGCACTTTGGCAGCAAGTGTTCGCGTGCATGCCGCGTAGCTCGGCTGTCAGCTCGCGCCAAGGTGGTCTAGTATTTGCGAAGCTTTCCAACTATACTGCAGTCAGCTTGGTCTTGCAGAAGAAGTACCTGCAAGAGATCTTTGGGCGGAAGGCACGGAACCCTTCACACATGTGTTTTCGAGACCCGGTAGCTGTCTTGTGGTTTAAATGTCCGTACACCCCGCAATTGAGGTCACGGTGCCTCTTCGGAGTTCACGCCTTCTGGGGGCCCATTCGTGCCCGATCTGGCCTTAACAAATGCACTTGGGCGCGTTGCGATGGCAGTGCAGATTCGGGTTGCGCCCTCACTAGGCCTAGATCACAGTGATCTGCCTGGATCCCCCCAGAGCCTCTAGAGCCCAACGAGGAAACCACCGCAGGGAAGTTCCAGTAAGGATGATGATGCTGCCCAGGGCCCAGGTCTACAACTTTGAGGTGCGAAGGTTGGGGGTTTAGGCGTTCAGAGCCTTTGAGGGATAAGGGCTTACTGGGAGTGGGCGCATGGTTTGTGATTGTCGGATGAGCATGGGTTCAGCATCCGGAAGCTTTTCCGAGACTGCACTGAGAGTCACCTTGCAAGGCGAACCTCAATCTCAAAACTTCCAAAGAACCCCAACGGCCCTCCCCGATAACTTTCAAAGACTCCGTGAGGGCGAAAGATGCGAGGGAACCTCGGCCCAGGATCGGAGACTTGATGCTGTCGTGGGTTTGGCTGGTTCGGGTGTGGGAAGAATGTTGGGTCTAGAGCCCTTTGATGCTTGCCGGGTTCGGCGCGACATCGGGGGCTGGTTTCAGATTTTGTGCATTTTCGCCTTCACTGGTTTAGGTTTAGGATTTAGGACTATTTTTTCGAGTTGTGGGTTGGGGGTCCTGGGGTGTGGGACCGCCAAGCTAGTCTGCAACCGGATTGGCTCTTCGGTTTTCCCCTAAGGAACAACATGAATTTGGATTCTAGTTGTCCCTTACATGGCCGATATGACGCGTTGTTCCAGATTGCGGGTCCCCGCAAGCCATAAATTCCAATCTGCACTCACTATCTGCAGCACTTTCAGAGGGCCATGGTCTAGAAACAAAACAGAGCATCTTAAGCTGTCAGGACTGCCGCACCCTGGCGGTGGAGAATTTGCATCAAGTGTGCAGCCCAGAGAAACAAGTTGCTAAGCCATGCATGGCTTTCTGGCTTGCGTAGGTTAGACTTCAATTCCAGGCCCCTGGGCTCGACCCGGAAGTAATGGAGAAGGGACAGGCGAGAGAGGAAGCAAGAGGCAGAGAGGCCTAGTCTAGAACCAGGGCCTGCGCGAAAGCTCTTTCGGGCTTTGGGATTCTCCAAACCCATTCCTTTGTGGAACAGCGCTTTGCTAACTTGCGGCCTGTCCAGGATGTGCAGATTCTAGCCATAATGTGGACTGGGAGACTGCAAGGTCATTGCAAATCGCTTCATTTGTGAAGCTGCCAGGTGCTGCTCTGCTGCTTCTCATGTCTTCCTCGCCCTCCTGCGCAGCACTGCTCTGCCTATGGCGACACTGGTGATGATTCAGTGATGTCGCTATGGCCCTGCATGCTAAGGCTTTCTCGCCCAAGTTCCGGACATGCAAGCGGCTCGGAGAGGGGTGAGTCGGCAGCTTCCCTGAAATGCCTCCCATCCTCGAACTCTTGCAAAGCCCCTGACCTCCAATTTCTGATGCTATAGGTAGGGTCTGAACAATCAGTTAGCATCCCCTTATCCGTAGTCCCTGTCTAATTATACTCTGGTATACCACAGAACCCTATTCCACTTATAAGGCGCCTCTACTATCCCCCCATGTCCTGAACCTTTTGGCCTGCCCAGGTCTGGACTCCGTTGCTGATGATGCTGACGAGGATCGCAGATTGATCAGGCTTCAGCCATGGCCAAGGTAAGCACTACAGGCATTGCTTCGAGTAGTGAACTGTTCCTGGCTGATGATGATGATGGTGATGGTGATGATGATTAATGATGATGACGGTGATGAGGATGAGGATTAGGATGACGACGATGATGAACACGAATGAGGAAGCTACTATCGCAACGGTAATCACAGTAGTGAGATTGGTAATGAACCACGAAAAGTGCTGACGATGCTGGTGGCGATGAGGAGGCACAGCAGGAGGAGGAGGAGGCAGGAGTTCTGTATCCTTCAGCATGTTCAAGAAGCATCATGACTGCTACGTACTTCTTGTAATATCACCACGGTTAGCGACTGCCTCCACCGCTAGGGGTGAGTGCAATCACCACCAGCGCCACCCTTGTTGTGATTTGCCAATGGCCACAGCAAGCTTGAGACGAATGAGTACCTCGAGCATTTTTTGGTACGTGCATACTGCATACTGGAAACGAAAGTTGAATGGGCGGAACTGTTCTATTGTTGCCCCACGGCCTACAGAAAACTGTCGGTTGTAAGCACACAACCGAGGCACGTCAATGCACGTCAATGCAAGCTGCAGCCTTTGACATTGAGTGCAACCAACTTCCTCTGGCAAGGAGTTGACGATCCACCTCCGGGGCGAGGACTCCATTTTGTGGCTTTCGGGCTTGCTCGCTAACACACAGGTATATGGCTGGACGCAGTTCTTCGAATCATATACTTTTCACTTGCGCACTTACGTGCGTGTTTCTTTCTGATTTCAAGCTTCGACCAAAAGCTTGGGATTTGTCAGCGCCACTTTTTGTTACCGGTTGCCAGTTTCAAGCTGGGGCATGGTTCGACTGTCGCAGATTCGCCTGCCATTGTCATGTCTTGACACGCTGCAGGAGATTAATATTAACCCAGATGGGTGTAAACCATCCACACCCCGATTTTGGGAACCAATGTGTGAACACTTCCAAGATTTGCTGCTGGACGAACTTTTCACAAGACTTAACGTTCTGAGCATGAAGCCATCGAAGACAAGACAAGCTCCAATGTCCTTGGAAAGCGAGTGGAGATGTAATTCAAGGTACACGGTAGAGCCGGGAGCAAGTTTAAAAAGTGCTGGGCCAGAGAAATGCAGCTGCATTCTTGGCCGACATTGCGCTGGTTCGTGGTTGGTGTCGACTTCGGTGGACACACCAGGTCTTTCAGTGTTGGCCCCACATATCGAGCTACGAGGAGTTGGAGCTTCTCTTCGTGAGTGAATGGCAGGCAAAATTTCACGGATGTTCAGTTGACCCATCACATGCTCAAAATAGTCGGGCATCGGGTGGCTACAGTTTCGTCGCGTGACGGATCTCGGTGATGTGCGAGCTTGGTTGCATTAAGTTTCGTGCTGACCGTGCTGCGAATGGCGTGGCATGGCGAGTTCCGAACAAGTCGGTCGGAGGCGACAACTTGCACCATGGGACTGTCTTGTCTTAAGAGAGATAGCACCAAAGTCTACCTGCGAAGGCTTTAGTTACTTTAGTCATCGGGTAGAGGAGCTGGAGCAAGAGAACTAAACTCTAGCTTTTGATCCCTAACCTCGAAATGCCCTACCCCGGCACTCTTTCGATCTTGAGGCCTTAAGAATCGAATCTTAGCATTAAAACCATGAAACGCCTCAGCCCTTTGAAGCAATATATCGACTTGAGCATCTATGGCACGCGAGGACCTTTGGGGTCTGCAAGAGGATCAGATCACCGCGAACGAACCATTGTCCTTGCAGGCAGTGCCTATACGGAGTAGCCCGTAAGGTTCACAGTTGGTGGTTGCTTGTTTTATCCAGCAGCGTTTTCCTGAGCTGATCGAGCCCGAAAAATCGTACTATTCAAGGATGGATGCGACACAAATCCCTTCAGCCCAACAGGATCCCGGGTTCACGGTATCTCACGGTCCCGTGATGCAAAGTCGCTTTTCATTTGTCCTTGCGTTATCTCGGAGGCGAATGCGCACCATTGGTTGTGGCACCAGCCGTCCGCTGCTTAGTGCGAGCATGCGACGGTGAACTAGCAGGATCAATCCAGTTTGTACCCTAAGGCCATGCACGCTGTATCGCAAAATCATTGCCAGGAGCTCAAGCTTGGCTATGGCAGAGTTTTCTTGCGTGCCCGATTCAGGTCACACAAATCCTATGATGAAGCCCCCCATAGAGATACATTCTGACTCTGTTAAGATCGCCGGGCTTTTGTAGACCCCCAGCCAAAAAATCTTGAATGGCGCCCAGGAGGAGGAAGGTGTCTAGGCTGCAAGCCCGGATTGCATTGAGGATTCTCCGGCTGGGGCTTGACGCCAAATCTGGGTTTAGAGCTCAGAAGGTATAATACAAGCTCTTGCATCTGGGGTAAAATAAGTCCAGACCTCCGAGTTCGGGCTGTTGGGCTGGAACTCTGTGCCACCACGGACTACAACCATTCCAGTGCCCTTCACCCGAAAAGCTGAGGCTTCAAAAAGGTTCGCATCGTCACAAGTCCAGACCTGTGCCTGGGTGCGGTTGTGATGCTGCGTATGCCACGTGGTCATGATAAACATTACCACCATCGTCAGGTTTGAGGGCCTAAACTGGTTTTCGTGTCTCCGAGGCGGCATGCTTGCATTGGCTGGATGAAATCCAATGCCGCGCAGATGGGTGTCAAGGCAAGGTCTTCGTGGAATGAATGTGGAATGTCTTCGTGGCACCATGCTTGTATGCTACATACTTTGCTTTGACGTAGAAAGGAAGTACACACTCGAAGCTCAACAAAAAGACAGAACTTGGCGTTCTTCTGGTTGGCTCTTTGGACTTTAACTTTTTGGGTTTCTATATGGTTTGTAATATGCGGGCTAAAAGTTTAACTTTTTGGAGGGGTTCAGAAGTAGGCCAAGAGAAGTTGTTGCTCTTTTGGAGGGTCGTCACCGCGAATGTCTAGCATATTATTCACTGAATGGTTTGGTACGGCAACCATTCGAGCATATTCGAGCTGCCCAGAAATCCCTCCCTGTCCTTGGCCGGGTGCAAGTGTGCACAGGTGCTGGTGCAAGCGGGAAGTCTTCTCGAGGACGCCTTTCTGCTAAGCTTCCTAGAAAAGGTCCCAAGTAAGTTCCAACAGTCGAAGACAGAAGACGACGTCAGGACTTCTGCACCCTGGCAAAGGCTTCCAATCTGGTATGGCACCTGGTAGACATGCTTTCGCGCAAGATATTGATGTCCAGGCATCTTATAAAGCCGTTCAACAAATCCGTACAACCTGACTCAAGGTCCTCTCTTACTCCAGCCTGTCCGACAACGCGGCACTGCCCCGTGCCTGCAGTAGAAATCCTAGAACCTTAACTCGAATCTCTTGCATGCACTTGATACATTGCTCACGATGAACCTCAAATGAAAGTGCTGCCCAAGCTTCGAAAGTTTCATTTTGGGGTCTGGCTGATGCCAAGGTCGAATGCCACTGTTGTCAAGAATCAAAGTAGCAGTACGAATGAAGGAATGTGCTTTGCAAGCTTGCAAGATTCAGGTTGAACAAAAGGCTGAGGAAGCTGTACTTCCGCGAGTTTGCAGACAAGCCTCTGCCTCGGAGTTACTGCAATTTTGCGGTTCAGCTTGCACCGGCTTACGACTTCCTGCTGCTGCAAGGCATTCTCTTTTGGACTGCAAGTCATGCCGCCGTGCTTGCAAACTACATTCCAATCGACATGGACCCAGCATGAAGCGCGCTCCACTGCCAACGATTCCTGCAGCAAGACCCTTATGCAGAAATCGAAGACCTAGCATCCTGAAGAAACATCCCAATGACTAGAAATCTGAAACCCCTAGATACCAAACAGAGCTAACGCACGAACCTTTCATTTCCGAAAATCATGGAGGTAAAGCCCTGCATCCCGATCGCCAATCCTGAACCCAGAAGCCAAGTAGCCCAACATGTTGAAGGGGCAGGAGCATTGGTGTGCAAGTGCTCGAGATGAGAGCAGCGGCAACCACCAAGTGTTCTTGAGTGACGTGTGGGTGTGAGTGTGGGTAGGCGTGTTTCTGTGCGTTTGCGCGCTTTCATGTGCATTCTTAAAGTCGGCCCCCATGTTGCCGTGAACTTCAAGAAGCGCAGCCTGTGCCAGACTTTGGCCTGGTACATCTTTGTATCAGTATTCCATGCCGATCCAAGAAGGACGGGGCCACGATGGAGTTTTTGGTCTATGACGGAAGATAGCAGGAGCTGTAAATGTAATGAGCAGAAGCAACACGGGAAACGATGTCCAGGACACTTCAGGTACCTTGAGTAAGTTGATCTGGCTTTAATCAGCGGCTTTTCCGTTGTCACCACCAGCACAATCACGATCATAATGCATTGATCTTCGTCTTTTCTGCTTCATCTAGCTCTCGTGAGAAAATAATCTTTGGGGCAGCAGCGTGGAGATTTTGGGGAACTTAATCAGGAATGTCGGCGTGAGGCTAAAACCCGAGGATGGAGTGAGGAGCTTCTTCTTTCTGTGAGATAGGATAATGTGCGATAATTTGGGCTTGCAGACTTATCCACACTTGAAGGCACCTTGACATGTTGCTTATGGAGAAAACCTTCCTAAGCGTGCTTTCATGCCCCAGGCCCATCCAGGCCCTTCAACTGGTTAAGCTTCAAGCCCCAATGCTCAAGACCGTGAGTCCGGCTGGCACGGCCTCCGACGAAAGCTGTGTCCCACTCGAGTACATGCTGCTGCACTGCTGCAGCCGAGACCCTCATGTAGCACAGCTGCCGCAGGACATCATGATCCCTATGGCAGCACATACCGCGAGGTGTGGGTCTCGAGATTCATGATCGGTCGAATCTTGCAGCCTGTAACTGTAAGCTTCCGGGATGCCCGGACACTGGATTCTGTTTCTCATCTGATTTTGACAGGTCATCAGATGGTTCACAAGTTACGATGAGTCTCGGATAACGAGACACGAAGGCTGCAGGAGTTGATGAAGCGAGATCGGGAAAGACATGATAGGTCATGGATTTGTTCGCATTGATCGCCCCGGATTAACATGATACCTGCGGTCATCGGTGTTTCATACACTTGTTCAGCAATCGGATACAGCTTATGTCACAAACTACTTATCGAGGTCAAACCCCGCAACTGTGCATCAGAACTTCAGGGTTTCATAGAACAGTCTAAAGCCTTCAGATGAGACCGAATCAAGATGCAGTGTTGAAATATCTTAAGTTGCAACCCGCCCAGATGAGTTGGTGGTACTCATTCATTTTCGGATCTGGTGCTGGTACCTGTGTTCGAACAGCATTCCTTAATTTCTGAAAGTTTCAAATAGAGGACAAGGTTAGATTGGTTAGATTAGCAAAGAACGCTTATACTAGAACCCAGAAAGAATCAGTCTTACCAGCCTTCATAGAATTCTTACAATTTAAAAACTCATGAATATGCTTGAATATGTGTCCGCGAAAGTTAAGGCGAAAGTTCCGATTAAGAAAACCATACTTTCGGATGAAATTATTCCGATATATATATATATACATATATGTATTTATTTAGATTAATGTCCGTCTATATTATGGAACGCTGAATTGAAATTATATATGTATATCGTTATTTTCGTTCCTTATTTAAATTAATGATTCAGTGGAATCTCATATAGTCATTAGGGATACTAATTAACCCGAATTTTGAATAATATCTTATTTAGTTTAGGATGTTCGATAAAGGAAGATTTGTATATCTTATTTTCATATTCTTCGGAGTTTATGGAACGATTTCGTATTTAAAGGGCTCGCACGTGTTTTTCTTCGTACGAGTGTGTGTTTATATAGTGTAGATGAAGTGGGTTATTTTAACTCATATTATTGGGTTGAATTTCGTGTTGATGGTAAACTTTCAGACAATTATTTCTGTATTTGTGAACGATTCGATGATTCTATATGGAATCGGGCGTCTAGATGGGGAATACGTGCACTGAATTTGATATAAAATGATATGCCACGGATGGGCGTTTCGAATGGGCGCTTATGGAATCGAATGTCTAGATAGGAAAGGATTGCTTTTGATATGGCCAGCTACTATTAATAATTGATGCGACTGATATATGAACCTGAAAATTAATTTTGGAGGTTTGTTTCTTGTTTATATGAGCTGCTTATATGGAGGGGGTCTCGGTCGCTTTGATTCCGACCGAAGACACCCACAGATGTAGAATCGCCCAATTTTCTTTCTGCTGCGATTTCACGTTGGGGATTGGCTCTTTGTGCCTGTCACTTTTGGGCATATGCTGTCATTATCGTCGATTCGAGCGTCGCCATGCGGAAAAGTAGCATTACAACGATTTTCGACGACCTGCCGCGACCACCTAGTAGCTGGAGATTGGAATATTCCAAATCCCAGCATCTATATGGCAAATATACTGGATTCATATCTTGGAAGGCTTCTAAATATAGTTTTTACCTCAGCATCCGCACCAAATCCCATATTTTCGACTGTCTGTTGCGTGCTTCTTGAAATCAGTATCTACATGAGATTTAGCTAATTCTGATGCGTAATTTCTCCATTGATATATATTCTCCTTAAACCAGCGTCTGCTGGCATTGATGTGTATTCTCAGCAGCTGATGTGAGATAATCCCAGCGCTAGTAGCTTATCGTGAAAATTCTTAGAATATTTAGAATACAAGGCGTTCTACTCTCTCGCGTCTAGATATATATTGGGACCTGAATTATTTTGTCACGATTTTTGATCCGAAATTGTCGAAATACAACCGTTTGAAGAGTTTTTGGTAATATCTAAAAATTCTAGGAAGTATTTAGAATAATTGATTCTGTTATTTCGAGGTAATTTTGGTGAGATTTTCTTTATTTATATTTATTTAAGCACTTCTGAGGAAAGGAAATTCCGTGGTCTTTCATCGTAAAATATCTGGAATATTTGGTATATTTCCAATGTAATATCGTCGTATTATTTGGTATGGGGTCGTCTGTCGTCGTCTTATTTATCTGTCGTATCTTCTCTCTTGATTTTTGTCGTCTGTGTTTCTTTATGGTGTTGTGTCGTTTGGTGTCGAGTTTTCTATTGGTTGTCGGTTGGTTTCGTTATATTCATAATTTAAGTGATTTGAAAATATATTTTTTATCGTCATGATAAATATCTTTGAATTAGTTGGTATTATATTTCTCATTATTAATATATCTTTCTTTTCATAAATTATTTGATATTAGAATATTTATTTTAGAAATATTTAATTTCTTCTATATATAATTATTTCAAAATTTATTTTCATTTTTATGAGGATCTATTAAGATATCTATTTTTATTAATAATGATTTTTAATTGATTGATATTTGATATTTATACTATTTATTAAGGACATAGAGAGATTATAGAAAAATAGATTTATTCTATTAAAAAAAATTCTAATTATAATAAATATTTTCTCTATTAATAATTTTAAAATTCATAAAAGAATTGCTTTTATCTGCGAAATTTAATTAAAATTCATTATT